AGATGCAGTATTCCGTTAAATAAAGATGAAATGAATGCTACTGTGCAGTTCACATAATCGCATTTTCTTCTCGCTAATTTTATAATAAATTTTACCATATTCTATTAACCAGTAAATTAACACTGAATAGAAATAACGCAAAAGAAATGCTGTAAGTTAATTGGTTTGCAAACAGGTCATTAATCGTAAGTTTTGTTGGCTATTGTCTTGAGTCAGCAATGTGATTATATATTGCAGATTTTATGAACCCATTCATTCAAACACCAACAATAAAATAACAACCAAAAAATTATCACCTCAAAACTTCGTCACATAAAGAATATCGTACACAAATTCTAGACATTCAAGCACAAATAAAGCCCATATTATTCGACAGTTGCTCTCCTCGGATGCATATGGATAAACAAAACCAAAGAAGAAAGGAAAAACCAAAAATGGTAACAATTACAAAAGTAACGAAAACAAGACATCCCACTGAGGAGGATGGCTTGAATCAAATCTGCATATTCAGTTCGTACTTATTAATGTACTAGATTGACCTTACTCTTCTCATCAACAATCACTTATTCATAAAAAATGTAACTAATTAAATAAAGCATCAATTTCCAGCCATTATTCTCATCGAACCTCTTCGTAATTCACCGATTTATGGAACGAAAATTTTCCTCTCCATAGGAAAAAGTATCATTCACTTCGCTACGAATTTTGAAAATTTTCAGAGGTATAAAAGAGCCGCATAGATAAGGTTATTAGAAGGAGACAACATGGAAACGGAAAGAACAACAAACTGAAGGAGAAATATCAATTCAAAGGCACTATATCAATTGAAGACATAACACCGAAATAAGAAATGATTTTTTTAGAATATCATTATGCCACAATACGAGCAACAATAGAACACTTGATAACAGTATTGAATTATTTCATATATTTTTCTACCATATACCGTAGTATTTCACATTTGATATTCACAAAAATATTCAAATTTTCAAAAAATATCACAATAAATCAGAGTTCCTTGACATTTTGAAACAATGTATCTCAAGCTATCATTGAAAGAATAATAAGAATTAAGCATTCCAAATCTGTTTCGGGAGAAGAAGAAGAATAATCACAGAACAAAGCTCGTTGCATGATGATTAGATGAAAATGAGTTGGACGGTGAATAAACAAATTAAATAAACGCTCGATACTTTACACGAATCAATTCACATCAACTGATTTGAGCATCGGCTGCTTGGGATGAATCGCGTTTCATCGTAAACGTATCATTCATCTGATCTTGAAACGACTGTTTCGTTAATTTGATATAGTCTATCGATGAGACTGTCAATGTAGATATCCACTTCTCCAACGCTTTGAAATTCTCAGTTGCCATCGTGAAATTACGACCGGTTCTGGAAATAACATTGCGCTTACTGTTAGATATATTTTGAAGACAATGACCGCTGCTTACAATTTATTACATAAATACATTAATGAATTTTGATTGTGTAGAAAGATGGAATTTTATTCAAAATCGCTTACGGTTTTTCGTTGCGAATGTTATCTAACTATCAGGAAATTATTCTTTTGGAGTGCTATTTACATTAACTCGTGAAGATATAAGTAAATGAAATTTTCGGTCAAAAAACGCTTAATAAAAGAAAAGAATTTGTTGAATAGATATATACGTTTTGAATTTGATTTGAAATGAATAGGATCGTCCAGTTTCGTTGTCATCACACAGTTCCATATAACAATCTTCGATGATCAACAATATAAATGGTGCTTCAACACCGACATCTTCGACACGATTGAATATAAATAAAAGGTTCGCTTTGAGGATTCCGTACGCAGGTCTCCATCGATCTTCCTGCACAATTGCATTCAGTTCAAGTCAAATTTGAGAGTTAAAAAAAGACAAAATCATAATCAAATGCACAGAAATGCTGCAAAAGAATCCCAGATAGAATTCATAAATACTGCACTGAAGTGAAGCAAATCTCAACAAACCAATAGAATGAAGAGAGTTCCCTCTATACGACACTCATATGATGTATCTGAACAAAGTTCTGTTAAGGCTCTACCGTTTGCCAACATCTACCTTCCTGCAATATTGCTATTCACGAAAATATCATGCTATTTGCAGATTCTGCTGGCTAATTCAGTGAGTTGTTCGGAATTTCAAAAACATCATAATGAACTTTCAGCGCGGCATTTCTATTAAATTAGCTAAAATAAACTGCCTTAAATATCAAAGTGACATCAGCACCGTAGACTACACATATGACCATATACCTATCCGCACAATCGAAGAAAAAAATTAACATTTATGCTTTTATCCTGGAAGCTTTACTCTATTTTTGATGGATACAATTTATGGAACACGACCGCTAGTCAAAATTTTGGTATATCTGCCAATGTTACCATCGACGTCTGCGCTCTAACCATCCATCAAATTGAGAAGGGCGCATTATTAGCATCATGAATTCATCATCGAATGTCTACAGTAGCTGGAGATTTTAGAATGAATTTTATCAATAATGGCCTGATTGTATACAAAATCTTTGGAAGAACTTGAAAGGCTGCATCATAAACAGTCTTCAGCTGATGTAATTTCAGATGCTAAAAAGAAAATTACCTCTGAAATCAGAAAATATATGAAATTAAATGAGGTTTGTTAGTTGACGTATGGGCAGATTACGGTGTGATGTAACGATTGTTGAATGAGCGTGAGGAGAACAAGAAACTGTCGGAATACGTTATGATTTTTCAAGTTTTTTAAATCATTTCTTGACAATCGTACCACCGAATTGAACGCTTTCACGGAATCAGCTGAGGTATGCGTAGATAATAACAGACAGGTAAAATGTGTAGAATGAAATCGAGAATACTGGTCTTGAAAAGGACCATTGATTTTATCAGAATACATTTTCAGTTTGCGAGTTTACAGTCTTTCTTATGAGAGCCATGAAAACAGAGCTTATCATTCTTTGAAAACTGCAGCTTATCATTCGATACATTGAGCTCAAAACTGAGATCTTATATAGTAGCACATGCACTTGCCTATTTCGTTGCGTTTAGTTCGTTTGCTGTGTTTACTTCATTCACCAGTCAATAAAAACCGCCGTTCTCTGACTAGAAATTACCATTCTGTGAAATTTATTGGAACATTTGACAGAAAGTGATACTGCTTAACTATATTGTGTTGAACAGATTGATAAGTCACCGTGCTTATTGGTCACAAACGAATTCAGTTTCTCGTTTATTTCCACGTGAACAATAATAAGATAAAATCGTTTCAAATAAATATTCGAATAACAAATTAGACAAATCAACGAGAATGACACGAGAAGAATGAAACAGGTGAGAATAATCCTCCATCAATATCGGAACGATACAACAATATTTGATCACATGCTGCTCTATAGTTCGGTTGGAGGCTATTCACACAGGCAATATCTCTCATCACTTTCTATGCATTCTCAAATAATTTGGATCCGTTCAATTTTGATTACAATGGTTACCAGCTTACTCAGATAATAGTTACCAGCCATGATAAAGGCTTGGATCCGAACCCTCGAATCCACAAT